GACCACGAATTTTAATTATATTAATTTAAATAGATTAAGTAGATATGATTAATCTTGAACCAAAATAATTTAGACTTAAATAGAAGACATACCATTTTATCCTCTTAAATAAAATAATTTATTTAACTCAAGTGTTTTAGGCCCAATCCTAACCCAAGAGTCTCTAACTCAAGTTCTGCAGGCCCAAGTCCAATAAATCCCATCCATCTTAATAAATAGCCCCCAAAATCCGTCTGCTGACATCATATTCTCCAAATTCCTAATTTCTTACTCTCACTCTCTCTTGTGGAAAATGATCCCAGCTCTAGCTCGCTCCGTTACCGCCCGCCACCGTAATCTCTCCGTCCTCCTCCCCAGACGCCTCCTCTCCACCACCACCTTAACACATCCTCCCTCACCTCCTAGTCCTCCTCTCCTCCGCCAGTCTCTACCCTCACTCTCGAACGCTCTCCAATCCATCAATCAAACCACTAACCCTACCGGTTTCACTTCCATTCGATGCCTGGTCAACCTAGCCGGCAATCAATCTGGAGTCTTGAAACCTAATGTCACGCATATCCTTCGCCCATTATCTCCGCATCTTTCTATTTATACCCCCCACCCTAATGCGCTGTATTCTATTTTACATAGAATCTTCTGGATTTCCCTAACTACTATGGTTTTGTCTTTTTATTTAATTTTTATCAAAATGGGTTTCATTTGCTTCAGCTTTCCAATTTTCTACCAATTCCTCTTTTATTCATCAAAGCTGATCTAATCTCCCCTTGAACTCGGTGAAAGTTGCTGATGGAAAAGATCTTGTACAGGTGCGTGGCCTTCTATTACTCACGACTATTTTTTTTTCCCTGATTTCTTCTGAATTATAACCAATTCTGAATATATCCTAATTTTACCATGACCCATACTTTTTCCGGAGTAATGAATACTTTTTAAACAAATATTTCTAATGGGCTTGAGATTTCTAAATCAGAAAAAAAAAAAAATCCCAAATAGAAGGCATTTACAAGAAATAAGGATCAAGTAGAATCATTGACGGATCACTTTCTTTTCAGTTGCATCACATGGTTATTTTTCACTGACCCTTTATTTTTATCTGATTTAGAGGCATGATATCAATTTGATTTGGTTAGATTGTTTCAAAGTGCTGAGAATTGGCATACATGAACAAGTGAAATGAATTTTCTTTTATCTGCTTAAAATATAAACAGGATATAACTTGCAATTTGCAAATTCAAAGGGATTGAGATTTTCAACTTTGTCGTGTAATAAGAAAATATCATATACCATCACCAATATGAAAAGAATGATTAGAGCACAAAAGAAAACAGCAGGAAAAGAATTTGTTCTTTACCTAAATAGCCAAGATTCTGAATGATTGCGGCCGAATATCTCTAATGCTTTCCGTGATTCTTCTGTTGCGGGATCATGTTATTCTGTGAACAAAATTGCAGGCATTTAAATCTATGATCTTTACATACAATACATTCTGCAGTATTCTACATTGGAAGTTAATTCAAGCAAAGCTTTGAATTTCTTGTATTTATGCTTACAGAAGTCAGAACATATGGTTTGAAGACCAAGGCTTCATTGAAGTTGCTGAATCAGGACGTGGACAAAAAAACTGCTCGGAATAAAAACTTGGTACCTCCTCAGGGCCTTTGTTAAAGTGCTTGTGTAGGGATTTTCTAAATAATCATGAAACGTTGCCAAACATTTTATACTTTTTTCTAATATATTTTGTTATTGTGTTTCAATGGTATTTTGACCAAGGTGAGGCGCTTGAAGTTTTTAGTGAGAAAAAACAACGGTGATGTTATAATCAAATTGTAATTTAATGCACAGTCCATCTTGGCAAAGCTAAAGAGTTTAGCTTTGAATGCTAATGCACTTGTATCAAGTTGTTCTCTCCATACTGTTCTGTGCTTTATATCCTATGGAGATGCGGATCAATGGTTTGCTAAGTGTTTGATGAATTGTGTGGTTACTTCGTTGGTGAAAGTATTTACAGGGTTGATTGAATCTTTTTGTTTATGGCTCGCTGCTTTTTCTTTCTCAGTCCATCTTTGCATACCTAAAAGCCTCAGATGGGCAATGTCTAGTTTTGAAAGCTAATGGACTTGCATCAATCTATTCTCATTACCTGTTCTTGTCCTCAATGGTGGTGCAGAATCACTGGAGACGAGACATGAATTTTATGCATACAGTTTCGTAGAGTTTGACAAAAAAACAGATATTTGTCAGTTTCATTATTTGTCCAGGTCCTTATCTAGCTGAATCTGTTTTCAGCATTGCTTATGCTAGTTAAAAAAAGAGTACATTTTTAAAATTAATGCTCTTGATTATTTATGGTCTGGTAATTCATAAAACAGATTGATATGAACCTTGAAAAGAATGATGCAAGCTTGGGGCACAATTCAGGTTCCACCCTTTTCGACCACAAAATTGAATAGCTTATGGATATATCAATCAGATTCGATGCTGAAAAACAGGTGAGCTAGATAATAAATCTTGAGAAATTTTGGAATAAACAGAAATTTTATATATATATAGCCTAGAACTAAAAATCTTATGGTTAAGAAAAAAGTTTGATAACATCTATAGAGAGCTGCATCTGTACTCATTCTGCATAAGGAGAGATTGGCAATATTTGCTTTGCATTTGAAAGAGCCTCAGCTTTTTTATAATTACCAAATATTAAAGTTGCAGAGGAAGTAGGAGCAAAAGCAAAGAAAGAAGTAAAGAAGAATAGGGGAAGGAGTGAAAAGCGGAGGTGGAGAAAGAGTGAGAATGGTTTCTCAAGTAACCATTACCAAATATTAATTTTGAGGGTCCATTACCACTTTTTCATTCTAATCTAGCAGCTTTAGATCTATCCAATAATAAACTCTCCGGATCCATTTCTTTTATATTTGCACTTGCAACAAATGATTGTTCTGAATCTAGGCAAAAAAAATTTGTCGGGTGAAATTCCAAACTCAATAAGATCATTATTGTTGCTTCAAACTGTAAGTAAAAAGAACTTTTTGAGAGAATTGCCAGCTTTTTTAAGGACTTGTAGCTCATTTATGTTTCTTGACTTGAGTGAGAATAGATTATATTGAGAAATACCAGCTTGGATAGGCGAAGCCCACAGGTTTTGATGTTCCTTTCCCTATTTTGAAGGTAATTAAAAAGGCATAATGATTGTTGAAGAAACAAAATACAAAACAGAGAAATAATGTATTACAAACAAAGTTACGAAATTATTCAAAGGAACATACTGACTTTGTATGTAATATAATATATAGAAGCTCTTCTGTAAAATTCTCAGCCACTCAACAGATCTTGCAATGTTATTGTGGAGAATGGCTGCTGCAATGGAGGCCATCGAACTATGAGCTCTGAAGCAGCTTTTCTCATGGTTAGCCTAAATTTGGGATCAGCAACCAAGCATGCACATACCATTTTGGTAATGTAAACTACACCATTTGCAACTTGATTTTTTGGAAGTGGGATCCTTTGGTCTATAATGTCCTTCAACAATGTATGCTGGTGTATTTATGAGGATGATGACGAGGGAAATTCTGATGATGAAAGAGATGAGATGAGATCACCTGGATGCCTTCCCATAATTACTTCCATTGTTATCACTTCAAAGCTATAGACATCGCATTTTTTGTTCACTTTCATTGTGTAAGCCAATTCTGTAGAAAAATTAGCTTTATAATTAAAGCAGGAAATATATAAAGAAAAATTTTATGATTGATATATCTATATGTTAGGAAAGAAATCAAGAAATGCACCCGGAGCTGTGTATCCAAAGGTGTCAGCACATGAAGTCCAATTGCTTGAGTCCGGCATCAAGAGTCTTGCTGTGCCGAAATCAGACACATAAGCCTCATATTCTTCATCCAAAAGAACATTATTCCTAGAAATGTCTCGATGAATGATTGGAGGAGTGCAGTCATGGTGCAAATAGGATAATGCACTTGCCACCCTTTTAACGACATTGAGTCTTTTCATCCAGTTTAACTCCATTATTTGATCCTCATCATTTAAAATCTTCCTCAAACTTTCCTTTTCTATGAACTCATAAACTAGAAAGGAGTACTTTCTATGTGAGCAGAAACCATATAACTTCACAATATTTCGATGCTACATGTTAATTAACACACGAACCTCACTTCTAAAAGCTTTCAAATTGGTGAACTTGCCCTCTTGTGATTGGCGAAGATTCTTTATAGCAACCACTTGATCTGTCGACAAAGTTGCTTTGTAAACAATTCCATAGCCTCCTTCCCTTATATAGTAGTTGGAATCGAAATCTTCGGTGGCTGGAATGATGTTCTCGTAGACCATCTTCCCATCATAACTCCATATTGCAAATATGTTTTGACATTGTCACTCCACTAATTGGGCTTTTTTATTTCTACCTATTTGGTGGAGAATGTGAAAACCTCCAACACTGATAAAGAATAGAAATAGGCTGCCTAATAAGAGTGGTACCATCAAAATGACAATTCTATTTCTCTTCCGTGCACCATTTTTGAGAAGAGAATTGAAAGGATTCAGACTGCTAGCATTGCCATATAGGCTTGTATTATTCATATATGCCTCAAATGGAGCCTTTTGAAAGGCTTTGATGTTTGGAATAGGACTCGCTAACTCATTGTAGGATATGTCCACAGTTATCAAGCTTCCCAAATCTTCCAAAGTTGTTGGAATGAAACCATAAAGCATGTTGTGAGAGAGATTCAACATTTCTAGCATTTTCAGTTGACCAAGTTGCCATGATATCTCCCTTGCCAGCAGATTCCAACTGAGATCAAGTTCTTGAAGAGAATATAGGAGGCCTATCTCAAACGGAATGCTTTTTTCGAATTTGTGGGTAGCAGTAGGGTTTGTACTGATGTTGATGCTGGAGAGGGATGTTCAAGGTTGGCAGATGTGAATCTGGAGTTGGGGCCTGCTGATAAAATGCAAAGAAATGTAGTGAGGAAGGGAGTGGTGAAAGCGGGGCCATGGAAGTCATTGTGGGCGGCGGTAGGGTTTGTGTTGATGTCGAAGCTGGAGAGGCATGTTTGAGGTTGGATGACGAGAGTTTGGAGTTGGGGCCTGCTGATACGCCTGCAAAGAAAAGTGGAGGTGGGTTTTTTCTTTTTTCTTTTTCGGTTGCTAGTCATGGTTTTCTGCAGTTTACTTTTTATTACTATTTGATGGGTTTGTGTTGGCAGTACTGTGTGTTATTAGGATTTGCTTGACTACTTTGGATGTTTGAGGAAATCTGATGACAAGAGAAGAATAAACAGTCAAGTGTGTCATTTGAGCTTATTATTACTAGTTGGCTTAGTTTATGACATGAATTGGGATTGTTTTGTGGGCCGAATGCAACGTGGAAGTATGCCTTCTTCTTAGTTCTATTCATTTTTCGTGTCTAGATTCTGTACTTTCATGATGGTTTTGTTTTGTTTTTTTTTTTTTTCGCTTGAGGTTTATAATTCTCTTGTAATTGAGAATTAACTGAATGAAAATAATCCTTTTTATATGTTACTTCATGCTGTGCTGTTCGGCATAGTTAATGCTCCATCGTCATGTTATAACTGTCGTCTTCTCTCTTCTCTGTTTTTTTTATTTATTTAAATCATGTAGAAATTCAGAAGAACAATATGGTTCGTAAACACAAGCATGTTGTTCCTATCAAACGATCAAAAGGTCCTGTCAAGATCACAGATACAGAAATTGCAGTAGGAGACATATCATGTAGTTTGTATGACACTATAACTACAGATGAAGTGAATAGAGTGCGTGGAGCACTCAGAGCTAGTTCTGAGGAGCTGCAAGCAAGGGTTAAGGATCCTCTTCCTGATGCCTTACAGCTGGCTGGAAATTTAATTGCTGAAATGGCAAGAAAATTATCTAATCAGGGTACTTTAGCCAAAACACAATGTGGAGAAGGTGTAGATACTGTTATTTCTGAACTGGCTAGAAAAATAATGAATCCTGATCCTTTGGTAAAAAACCAGAATGGAAAAGATGCAGGCTCATCCCTCCTTTCAGCTAAGCCTTCAGCTGAAAATCAGTCTGGAAAAGATACCGATGCATGCAATCCTTCAGCCAATCACACTGTTGAAGCTTCTGTAGAAAACCTGAATCAAACGGAAGTGGATGATGCCAATCCTTAATGATTTCAAGAGAGAACCGAGGTAAACAAGATCTATCATCGTGTAGTGTTTATGTTTTGAGCTGGCAATGTTTCTTTGTTTTAACATTGAGCATTATTCGTTTATTTTTCCCTTAATGATTTCTCCAGGTTGATTTGAAGGATAAGTGGAGGAACATGACAAGATATGGTTGATACTGCCAGCAAGTTTTAGGGTCTGGTTTCTTTTGTTTTTTTTCTGCTGTAAGATATAGATGTAGCACTCCAGCCCCCTTGATAGTCTTTTCAGGTTTCCTACTCTCACCATGTGCACTTGTTATAACAACACTAAGGGCTTGTATTTTGTAGGTTCGAAAGGAAATGTAATCATGCTAAGCATCTTTTGGATTTGTAAGTATTTCCTCATGAAGGAAAACTGTGTAGTGTAGAGTTGCTTTTGACTGGGAATGAAATGTATATATAGTTTCTGTAGAAACTCTGAGACCTGCTAGTTAAAAGGTCTTTTGATGATTATATATTAGTAGCTTCTTCCGTCTGTTTGCCCCCTTTTTTCTTAGTTAAATATCCAAATTCCAATGCATATATTTGCTGTATATAATAGTATACCTAGCAAATCGAAAGAATTTCCAGGAAATCTGGAGGAAATTCTAGATGAGCATGTGTCCAATTTTGTAGGTAAAAGTACCAATAAGTAATTATTTAGTCCTTTTGGTTTCAAAGATCATAATTTAGTCATCCAACTAAAATGGTGACAGTTTAGTAATACTCATTAATGGAAATTTAACATAAGGACTAATGAGTTATAAATAGATTGGATATAAAAATATAAACATGCACTATAGGCATTTTTAAAATAGAGGGACCAAATTATTTGGCTAAAAACAGTAGAACTATAATATAATTTACTTAGAAATCAATTTGAAATTTCATTATTACATCAAAATTTAAAAATGTGGAAAGTTTGTTTTCTATGCGTAGCTCACTACGCTGTATGTTTTTACCCGTATTTACCCAAAAATTTTCTCCCAATATTAACATGAAAAAAAATAATATATAGATGTCTAATTAATTAACTCTAAATCTATCTATGATAATTACTAGAAAAATTTTCTAAAAAGATTTATTTAAAAAAGCTACCAATTTATTTTAAATCTCTCAAATTCGCAATAATATTTTCCTATTCCATACACTCAATAGTTAACCCTGACTTAATATAACTATATTATTTTGGATTTAAGAGATTTAAGTACATTTAAATTAACATCAGTTAACTATTGAGTGTTTTATTAAAAAAATATTATTTTGAATGGAATATTTAGAAATAAATTAGTTGAAGATTTTAAAATAAATAGATGAATATTTTAGAGGATTTTCCAATAACTATACCAAATGGACAACTACTAGAAAAATCCTATAAAAAAATCTTCTATCTAAAAAATGCATTAATAACAATATTTTTCTTAATACCAGCTTAACTATTGAATGTTTTGATAGATATTTAAAAATTAATTGATGCGGTTTTTAGATAAAATATTTTTTGTAAAAAGTTTTTTGGTAATTATTTAATAATAATCACAGTTTATAGTTTTTGACGAGTTTGATATATATATATATATATATATATATTTGAGAGATTTAAAAATTAATTGATGCGGTTTTTAGATAAAATATTTTTTGTAGGAAGTTTTTTTTGGTAATTATTTAATAATAATCACAATTTATAGTTATTGGGTTCCATTTTCAAGGGGAATGAAAATAATGGGGATGATTCTGTCTCCAACAACTTCATATAAGTTATTATTAATCTTGTCAAAGTGTGGACTAAGCCCTCAATCACTCTCTTTTCATTTGTGTCATTGTGTGGTTGTTATTTACTTGTTTGGGACTAGCATTTGGTTCTTATGGGCTATACCTCATTACATTCAAATTTATGTCTCGTCAATATGTGGTTTAGTAGATTCAATTAATGAAAGCTATTTAAGTTTTCTCACAAATTATTGGAGAACTTATTTAAAGTTTCATCTTTTTAATTGAACTCTGCTTCAACCAAAGAAGAAATTTTGGTAGATTATTATTGAATCACTTCTTCATTTCAAGTTAAAAGTCGTGGCATAGAATTAGACAACATGTTTACAATAAAAACACTTAAAATCCTCAAAACCCAAGCCCAATTTACGATTCCAAAAGTAAAAAACCGAATGGTCTCCCTTTGCTATCTCACATTTTAAAAAATTTGCCCTAAGAAGAAACTTGAGGTTTTATATGTCTTTGTTAGATAACATATCTATATATAATTTATTTTACATTTTAATCTTAATATAAATATAATACGAGTCTATTTAGATATGTAATTAATCGTAAAAGCCATAATTCTTTATGATAAACCTATTTATATGCCTTTTGAGTAAAAAGACAAAAAAACAATTAAAAAAATTCACGTTTTTCCCCTTTTCCTCGTTTTGTTTCAAGGTTGATTATAATTCATAACCTAATTTCAAAAAATGATATTAAACTATTGGGCAATAATTGATCATTCTAGTCCAATTAAATTAAAATTATAGAAATAAGCAACTTAGTTCTCTATAACGTCAAATAACTTGTTGCCTTTATTTTGCAAAAAAAGAAAAAAAAACCCCTTTATAACAAGCAATAAAAACCTCGACCTATAGAATAGTTATTCCACATAAATTCTAAATTAGGAACCAAATGCCCGTTATAATCTCTATGCACAAAAAGCGTCGTTTATTCAAAGCAAGTCGTTAGCTTATATAAGCCTTACAAAGAAATAAAATGTAAACAAACAACCCAAGTTTTGCATGATAAATGGCTAAGGAAATAGATAAATTCTACCTACATGTCCTAAATAATAGGAATTATTAACCGAATGAAGTTTGACAACTTCAACTACAACTCTAATGACCATAACAATTCCTCCCCTAAATTGATCGCAATAATGCTTTCAGCTTTACTCCCGGTACCACACACATACCTAGTAACTCATGCAACTTCAAAAACACATCCATCTTAAGTGGTTTTATCATAATGTCCGCAACTTGTTCTTGTGTGCCACAATGCTTCAACTTAACAACTCCATCTCTCGGTCAAATCACGTAAGAAATGAAACCTTACATCAATGTGTTTGTCGGGTCCGTGCATGACTAGGTTCTTGGATAGCTTAATGGTAGAACTCGTTGTCACATAACATAGTGGTACACTTGCCTTAAGAATGACCAAGCTTCTCCAATACTCTCCTCATCCACACCCCTTGACAAGCACAAGAAGCAGCTTGCCACAAACTCGTTTCGATAGTAGACAAAGTAACCATAAGTCGCTTTTTAGAGGACCATGACACAGCCTCCTTCATTGAGTAGAAACACATATCCGAAGTACTTTTCTTGTCATCTACATCTCCCGCATAATCACTCTCTGTATATGCCATCAACACTTCATTACCCCCTTTCGATAAAAGACTCCTAAATCCACAAGTACCTTTCAAGTATCTCAACCCTTTATATAGCTTGCAAATGCAACTCGCTTGGACTTGCCATGAATCCGCAAATAAGACACACCACATACATCAAGTTCGACCTTGTTACGGTTAGATACATAAGGCTCCCAACCAATTATTCGTACATGGTAGCATTCACCTTGGCTCCTTCTTCATCCTTCATTAGTCTAGTGCCGGGAACAATGGGATTCTTCACACTATTACTCTTTTCCATCCTAAACCTCTCCAAAAATTTCTTTGCATACTTTCTTTGACTAATATAAATGCCTTTAGAATTTTGTAAAACCTCCACACCGAGAAAATATTTCATCTTTCCCAAATCGGTCATATCAAATTCAAGTTTCATAGAATTCTTGAACTTAACAAACATACTCTCATGATTATCAGTAAAAATTAGATCATCAACATATAAGCTAAAAATCAAAATTTTACTCGCATCTTTTGTTTTTATGAATAAGGTGTGTTCACAATTGCAACTCTCAAATCCTTCTTTGACAAAGTATGCTTCAATCCGGCTATACCATGCACGAGGGGCTTGTTTGAGGCCATACAATGCCTTCTTCAATTTATACACCTTATGCTCTTCACCTTTCTTCTCATAACCTTGTGGTTTCTCGACAAGCACTCGCTTCATTTAACTCTCCATGTAAGAAAGCGCTTTGACATCAAGTCGATATACACTCCAACCATTTTGAGTTGCTAAAGCAATTACCATTCAAATCGTATCCCACCTAGCCACGAGCGCAAACACCTCAATATAATCTATACCATTCTGCTGTGCGTGCGTACCCTTTCGTCACCGAGTCGAGCCTTACACTTGTCAACCTCACCATTTTCATTAAGTTTAGTTTTGAAAACTCATTTTACTCCAATCTTCTTCATTTTTTAAGCAAATCGTCAACTCCTAAGTCCCATTCCTTTTGATTGCTTCTATCTCCAAGTTCGTTACGAGTTCTCCATTTGGAACTCGAATAGCTTCTTCAAAGGTAGTCGGATCCGAAGAGGGAAGTAAACATAACCAAATTGTGCTCAACTTCTTCTTCGAAAATTCTTCCCCACTCACATAATCTTCCATCCGGGATGGTACTTTTCTCGTTCCTCCCTTCTAATGAGCTTCTTCAAATGTTTGAGAATTCTCTCTAGGTGACTCATTTGAAGGTAAGCTAACCTCTCCTCCTCCTCCTTCTACTCGCCACCTCCTCTTCGCATTCTTCTTCACTTTGATCATGTTCACTTCCCTCTTCATTACTATCTCCCCAATCGAGGATATCAAGTCTTGCTTCTTCATTACTCCTCTCCCAATTCCAGCACTCATTTTCTTCAAAAACCACATCTCTCGCTTACTACTATCTTCTCGGATGTTGGATTATAAAGTCTATATGCTTTAGACTCTTCACTCATCCCTAGCAAGACACACTAAAAACTCTTATCATCCAGACTTCTTTCTCTTACCGTCCGACACATGAACATGACCAATGCATCCAAAAACTCAAAAATACGCAAAATTGGGTTTA